CTAGGAACACAAAATAACAGGGTCATTCGAAAGGCAAGGAGGCTCACCACTGAATTTGGAGTGCTCAGCTGGATCAACGGCGTGCTGGATGCTGATCCTGGGTACCTGCGTCTGCATCATAAATAAAATGCAGGCCAACTGGCATCAGCACATGGAATGTACGAGTATGCGAGCTGGACCGCTAAACAACAACTTAAACTTGAAAGGAGTACTAAAGAAAACTTACCTTGGCTCTATTCAACTCATGAATAACTGAACTCAAAATAAAGGAATAAGACACATGCAATATATAAAGCTTATAAAACTGTTTAAAACATGACGTCAAAATCATATTTATAATATCATGAAAATACCATGCTTCCTCTCAAAGTCTACTTGTGCAATGCATGAATGAAGTCCCATACCCCCATCTATACTAAGCAGAACCCCTCGAGGAACCATGCAATTTCTACTGTGGGAGTTTCTCTAACTAACAACCACCACTATGAACCTAAGTGGTGACACAGCGTCTTGCCCACGCTGCCAGAGTTGTCATATACTTTGCCGTCATATAGAACGCTTTAACTTAGTGGATCCACTAGCTTAACTTTCGTGATCATCTGAAAAGTATGACCCGAGAAATCCCATGTTTGGCTACATGGTTCTTATGGAGAGTTGAGTTAATATGAACTCGTGTCCCCAATTCGGTGCTCAAGACTACTCCCAAAAATACTTTAGCTCATAAGTGTTTTAAACACATCTTCCTTTAATTTGAGAAAATTGCTTAAAGCTACCCTCTTAAAAGAGGTAATTGCTCTTGAAAACTTTTTCTAAAAAGGACATATCAAAACTATATATTTTTAATATGATCATTGATGACTCGGGAAGTCATACTGCATAAACATTGATGGTATATCTAGAGACCATACTGTTTAAACATTGATGACATACTCGATTGTCATACTAATCATGTTTTAGAAACTCTTTCGCAAAACCCACCTTTTTCTTAAAAGAGATAGTACTCAAATTGCTCAAAACTCTTTTGGAAA